CTTATGGAAATGAATTAAATTTCTTACGGTATACAACCCACCACCTCCTACCTTTCCAGCTAACTTCCACTAGTCTTTGATTCTACTGAGACCTCTAATTCATGGAACCTACCATCTGTTCCCTGTTCCTAATTATCTAGATTTCCTCTTCTCTGCTTACCAGGTTTAAATTCCGTGATCAACCATTTTAATAACACAACTCTCTTGTATACAACTCTCTTGTCCCTATTTTAAAATATACATTGGATAATCTGCAACTCTGGTTATATATTTACCATTACTTGTTCCACACCTTTGCTGCGTTAATGAATGAGCCAACATACTGGCTGATCTCACTTTAACTTTGTGACCAAAAACTTTAAATGGACCCTTAAGGCTACCAGACAACCTGAGCACACTTCTCCAGTCCATTCACTCTCCCTATTTAATTGTTCGCACCTTCTCTTTCCTCCAGCCTCTATCACATCCTCCACCATCCTCATTCTCATTTGGTGACTCTCTCTTCCTACTTGGAGAAGACTGCAGCAACCAGAAGAGAACCTCAAAAGACTCCCACCATCTCAGTTATACACCTTCCCAAACCTGCCCCACATAACTTACCCTATATCCATGTTCCTATCTAAGGCAATGTCCCTTCTCTTGTGCACTAGTTTCCGTACACTATCTCTCCAACTTCATTAATTTTTCTTTCTCTATTGAATCATTCTCATTTGCATGCAAACATGCTCTTATTTCTCTAATCTTTAAAGAAAGAAAAACTTTCTTGAGCCTGCTTCCTCCATTTCTTCTCTCCCCTTTGCACAAAAATCCTTGCAGAGTCATCTATACTCACAGTTTCCAATTCTTCCCTCTAACTCTCTCTTATACACATTCTAATCTATTTTACCTATCCTTATGTGCTCTTGTCAACATTCTTGTCAAGATCACCCATGACCTTCAATTGTCAAATTCAGTCGGTCTTCATTTTACTTGACCTTTCAATAGCATTGGACTCAGCTAATCTCTTCCCCTTGAAACTCTTTTTTACTGGCTTCCAGTGTATCACATGTTCCTGGTTTCCCTACTATCTCCCTGGATGCTCCTTCTTGGTATCCTTTAATGGGTTTCTTCTTCTCCTGAACCTCTTTATGTCAGAGTGTCTCAACATTCAATCCTGCCTCTTCTCTATATGCATTCGTTCCTTGGAGGTCTCATCTAGTCTTAGGCCTTAAATACCACCCAAGTACTGGCAAATCCTTAATTTATATCTCCAATCAGACATCTACTCTGAACTGTAAGCTTACTCTACATCTCCAATTACATTTAGCATCTCTAAAATGTTATCCTTATCCCCTGACAATCCACTCCCCCACCCCTTTCCAAAGCTTCTCTACCTTAAAACCTTCCACATTTCAGCTGATGGCAACCCAAACTTAGTCAAACCAGAAAAGATGCAGTCATTTTTTACTCCTCTCTTTCTTACAGATACAATATCCAATCTATCAGGGTACCCTATTGGCTCTAATTTCAAATATATGCAGACTCTGACCACCTTTCTCTTCCTCTACTGCTACCACTCTGGTTCAAGCCACCATCATGTCTCACCTAAGTTATCACAATAACATACTAATTAGATGTTTTCACCCTGTCCCAGTACAGCAGTGAGACTGATCTTTGTGTAAGATAAGTCAAGTCACATCACTCTTCTCTCAAAACTCTTCAAATGCTCATTTCATTCAGAATACAAGTCAAAGGATTGACAATGACCTCTAAGACCCTCCTTTACCTGCATTCCTGGATCCTCAGTGACCTCATCTCCAACCACTTTCCCAATTGTTCACTGCACTTCAGCCATGCAGGCCTCCCTGCTGTTTTTCCAGCATGCCAGTTGCACTCTACCTCAGAGCTTTACGCTAGCTGTTCCCACTGCCCAGAATGTCTTCTTCTGGATGTCCATATGGCTAACTCCCTGACATCCTTCAGGTCTTTGCTCAATTGTTACTTCCTCAATGAGGACTTCCCTGATGAGCCTATTTAAAATTGTGACAATCTCTACCCCTAGAATATCTTATCCTTTTTATCCTGTTGTAACTTTTCAAAAGGCGCTTATCACCTTGAAGTGTACTAAATAATTTATGTACTTGTTTATTTGTTTATTGTCTTGTTTCCTCCCACTAGAACTTAAGTTCTTAAAAGGAAAATACTTTCGTCTGTTTTGCTCATTGATGTACTCCTGACACATAGGCGGTGCTCAATTAACACTTGTTGAATGAATGAATCTATTCCCTACCTAAGTAACCACACTACGCATTAATCATCTTTTTTAAAAAAATGTTTAAATAAATATAGAAACAGTGTCTCACTACATTGGTCAAGTTGGTCTTGAACTCCTGGCCTCAAGAAATCCTCCTGCCTTGGCCTACCAAAGTGCTGGGATTACAGACATGAGCCACTGCACCCACCTTTAATCATCTTTGTATCTAGATTTCTTGTTTATATTTACTCAATAACTGTTCATTAATTGAAGAGTATAGATAAAACAAATGACCTATTGCCCATTAAAGTACCTTCATTTCTCTGAATTCTAATATATTTCTTTTTTTGCATCAGCGTGACTACTAGAATTTTTTCTGGACAAGGTACAAGCAAACAGCAGGATGCATTAACAGAAGGCTTGATCTTCAGTGCATTTTCTTAGATGTAAGTCCCCATCTATCTCCAAAAAGGTAAATGGCATAGATATCTAGAGATTGTCCCTCATATGTGATCAGACAGAAAATGAGAAAGTCACCTTGCTTTCACATATTATATGTTCATCACTGTAGCCTTTCTTTAAGTATATTTTTCCAGACTTCCCCTAAGCTGTTGCTCATTCTCTGTAATAGCCAAATCAATTGACCATATTGTACTGGTTTGCTTCAGTGTTTGTTTACTAGTTGAAGCCTGCATTAGGACAGGATTATTTCATGGTGCTCGGTTCCCTGGCCCTCCTCCAGCTTTCTCCTCTCTCAATCTCTCACTGTGCAAAATAGCAATCTTTCTCTACTTCCAAAAGCATGAGCATCCTGAGATTTATCTGACTATCACTTAATTCTCTCTTCTTGTGAGATTCTCTACTTTCACTCTTTTAACTCTATGGTCTAAACTTAGGTAGGTAAGTGCCCATCACAAATAACCATGCCAAGTTAATCTTTATCCCTTTTGGCTTCCAGTTATAGCCTTGGCCAGTGCTCTTCCCTGTTTTTGTCCTGTTATTGTATTGCAAATGAAGCATGTGCAGCTATTTGAGCAAGTGCAAAAATATAATATGAACATGTCCTTATCTAAAATGTCACTTTTTCAGTATTCTTTTTGGGTTGTTCATTGTTAGCCAAAGTCCCATTGTCATAAAAATTACAATAATAAACTACCCTGAGTCTTTTAATTTCACACACAGCTTCTACATTCTCTAAGCCACTAGAATCCCATGGTTCCTAATTAAAATATTCAAAGGTGAAAGTCAAGTAATTTCCACAAGGTATATTAGTTCCTTTACTTATGTTTCCAGGGTTAAAAAAGAAATCCTTTGCCAATAAAAAAGGAGAAGTTTTTGAGTGTATAGTACAGGGATTTCAAAGAGCATTCCACAGTGTGTTATTTTCTTTCCAGAAAATTCTAACACTTTATAATTACTTTTGTATGGAAAATGAATAATTTAAGCCCCTAATGCTAAAAACAGCTAGAGAGAAACCATCCAAATCAGATAGGCATTTCCTGAAACCAAATGAAATATCGAACTAGAAAATATCTGTGTGAGAACAGCCCATGGAACAAAGCTCTTGAATTATTATTCAATAGAGAGGAAGCATGGTAGGGGAGAAAGTTACATGAAAAAATGGTGTTTTCTTGTCTTTGTGCCAGAATTTTTGGGGTCCCACGCTTCATAGAAACTGTAATGTTGATTGCACCCCAAATGTCACAGAAAAATACGAATCAGAAATGCTTCTAGGAGCTTCCAAGCTTCTGACAAAAATAATGGCAAAAACATCAATTAAGCTCTATCTGTTGCGACAGAAATGCATTGATAAAGAAAAAAGCAAAAGCCCACCTGCATAGAAACTAAACCGCAGCTACTCCTCCAATTCGGAGAAAAATGAGCTGCACTTCAGTCGCTAGCAGAACTAATCCCAGCAAATATAGCTAGTGGGTTTGTGTACTGGGGGAGGGGGACTGCAAGCAGAGCACACCTCATCGCCCTCCCACCAAAACTGGTCCAGAAACGTGAAAGCATCCACGCCGCATGACCTCGCTTAGCTGGAAGAAAGCAGTGGCCGCGACGTGCGGGTGGCCCTGTCTCTTCCCCTTCTCAGACCACCCCCCCCACCCCCGCCAAGCCCCTAGTCTTCCGCACGGGTCTCTGGCTGCAAGCTCTGGGGCTGGAAGACCTGAGCAGGTTCTTTTCGCTGCCCAGGGTGAAGAACCTCCTAAAGATGTTGTAACCAGAGTAACTCCCGCGCTGGCAGCGTCTCAACAGCCCGGAGTGAACGAGCTGACCCCACCAGCGCCGGGACCCACGTCTGGGTCGGCCGCCCCCGCCAGCCCCACCCCGGAGCCTCCTCAGCCCGAGTCCCCAGCGCCCCGCACGCAGTAGGGTCTTTCCGGGCGTGTAGCCCGTAGGGCTGACTTTCCGCTAAGTGAACAGCCATGTTAGCCTCCTCTGGGCGTAAATCCACCAGGGTGAGCCGGCCGACGGCAGTCAGGAGCGCTCACCCGGTCCCCTCCGCACCTCCCCGCAGGGCTACGACTGTTTCCAAACTCCTGGGCGCACCCAGCTGGGTCCCTTGCCCTCTCACGGTTCAGCACCGAGGACAGCGGACATACTTTTCTCCGCCAGGGTCCGCGCCGCCAGGAAGGCGGCTTTGACAGCGCCGGCAGGGCTGCAGGTGTCCGGACCGCGCGCCCGCCCGTCCGCATCCCCGCGGCACCCCAGCGTGCCCACCTCCCTTCCCCGCCTCGCGCAGGGCAGCCCCGCGGCGTCTTACTTTTCTGGCTGGAGTAACCTGGGTAATAGCCATAGTAGCCGGTGATCCGCAGGATCCGGTCCTCGATAGTGGCCACCCCATTGGGGGCCGCCTTGACATCCATAGAGAGCGCGGGGCGGCGGCCCCGGGTGCCGCGGGGCGGAGAGCGCAGCGCGGGGCCCCGGAGCTGGTGCAGGTGCCGCCGCCGCTAGTGCTGATGTTGCAGCTCGTGCTCCCGCGCCCGGGCTCTGACTCCACCGCCCGGCGCAGCACTGGCTCCGCATCACAGCGGCGGCGGCGGCGGCGGCGGCGGCGGCGGTGGCGGCGGCGGCGACGGAGAGGCCCCCACTCGGGCCGGCCTCTCTGTCAGCCTGGCAGCTCTCCCGCGCGCCACCCGGAGCACTGCTGCCCGAATAGCGCCCCCTCACCTCCGACGCCCACCGTGGCCGGGGGCGGGTGTGGGCGCCCCACCTGGTCACCAGCTTTCATCATTAACCCTTGCGCGCTCCTTCCCGAAGAGTAGACAACACAACCCCACCTGATGAAAGGGATGTTTGGTCTGGGGAGTGCGGGAAGAGAAGAGAAGGTGACGGTGGCCAGGGGCTCAGAGAGAGGTGTTGGGGGTGGGAGAAACCCGAGAGGTACTCATAGCTGTCAATGCGAGGAATTAACGCTGTCGCTCAGGGAGAAGACACTTCTGGGGCTCCCCCGGACTCGGGCCGTGCTTGGCGTCTACACCATGTCTGGTCTGCTGATATACAAGCATTTCCCGCCGGTGTTAGTTAGTCCTTGCAACTTGTCTAGAAAACTGGGAATCTTTTTTTATGAAATAACAAGAAAATTAGTTCCTGGCAGGTGGTATATGAAGTGATTATCCAGGTTTTGCAGACGGAAAGATTTATAAGTGTTCAAGCCCTCAAGTCTGGCTGTCCCTACGGACCTTCCATCCTGCCACTGAAAAATGTCAAAGGCTTGGAAGACTCAGCTGCACACAGCACGCTTATTTTACCAATTCCAAATGCTCTGAGGAGAAATGATTTTCTCTTTATTGCCAAAAATATCAGGAGGGAAGTCCTTCAAACTGTAAATATCTGGACGAGTGAAAGTCTTAGCTACAGTCTAGAGTCTTTCCATTTGAGCAGAACGTCCTTGAAACTGTGTGTTCAGAGCGAACACCCTCTCCTCACGTGTGTCTCTCTTCTGCCTTAGCCAGAGACCCAGTGGGTTAGGGTCAGTGAGCAGTGGAGACAATTCCTCTGTTCATAGTCTGCAGACACAGTTTCCTGCAAAAAAAAAAAAAATGATAATAATTTTCTAAGTTTCATCTCAGAAATGAAAAGGTGGAGGTGGGGGGTTAGTAGAGAGGAGGGTCAGCTCATCAGTTTAGAGGTCATTTAGGTCCACCTTCCGTACAGAGCTGGCTTAAGACATCCCTGCCAGGTTTCATATCACTAAAGCTTAGGGAGAAGAAAAAAAAGAGAAAAATAAGTCGACTTCAATGCTCCTCCCAGAAACCTCCAAAGAACCTATTGCACCATCCTGCCTCCAAGCATTTTCCACATTGTGTGTGGGCCCTTAAGAAGGAAGAAATACGCAAACTTTTTTTCTAAAAGGTAAATTAGGTTTAAGCACATGAAAACGCAATATTAAATTTTACAATATGTTTTGGGTTTTCATCCAAACTCAAAGCTTAGCACGTAATCTTCAGAGTGGAGTCAATCTGAGATTATTGTGGCTGGAAGGAGAGTTTATCAAGAAACCAATTTCCTCCTACACCTGTTTTCTGGGCTAGGAAAAATGGAAGGGTGGAAAGAGCTAAAGGTCAGAAGGAACTGAAAGGAAAAACCAACACTAGTGCAATGATGGGGAGCTAGCCATTTAAAGCAAAAATGAAAGCATTATGCCTTTACACCCCCCACATGAAATAATATTCAGCACACTTTTGTTAGTTTTATTATTTCTGTGGCAAAATTTATATCAAATGCATATATTACACATGGTAAAATGTGTTCACATATAATTTTAAATATCACTTTTGTTTAAAGTTTCTATAAAGGATAAACTTTCCCATATTACATATATTATATATTTTGATAATAGCCATCATAATCCATAGCACATTAATATATATATCAGTAAGAGAGAAATTAGGAAACAATTCAAGCAGAAACCTTCCAGTGTAACAGGAATAGATATACACATACATACACACACATATATATGCATAGACTTTAAAAACAAGTGGTTTTGTCCCATTGCTTATAACTTATCTTGTCATAATTAATGTACTTAAATTATAAATAACAATTACTGTGTAAGTCATTGCCTTCTTCCTACTTTTGTTTTATTTTCAGAAATCTCCATAGAAGTAGATAAAAATGTATTTAACTGGATCTGATCATTCATATAAACAGTAAATTCAGCATAAATTTAAATACTACAATGTAAACATACCCACAAGAGTCTATGTTTACTTTTGAAAAAGTAAAAATTTTCAGACTGACCTGGAAATAAATTTTAAAATAGCAAAGCACTTACAAATCTCTCTATAATCATCTGTAATAGGATGACCAAAATAGTAAATGCCAGCAAGTGCTATAATCTAGGACACACTTTTCTTTTAATGGAAGGAACTGAAATCCTACAATTATAAATTGATAAACTGTCAAAGGTAAATTTCTGCTAGTCATGAGCACTCTTTGGCATATATGATAAAAGATGTTTTAATCTTTCAATAGTCATTTTAGACATTATTAACAATTTACAGAAATTATTTTGAAGAACAGATAATTTTTTTTTGAGACAAAGTCTTACTCTGTCACCCAGGCTGGAGTGCAATGGTGCGATCTCGGCTCACTGCAACCTCCATCTCCTGGGTTCAAGTGATTCTCGTGCCTCAGCCTCCTGAGTAGCTAGGATTACAGGCACCCGCCACCACGCCCGGCTAATTTTTTTGTATTTTTGGTAGAGATGGGGTTTCACCATGTTGGCCAGGCTGGTCTCGAACTCCTGACCTCAGGTGATCCACCCACCTCGGCCTCCCAAAGTGCTGGTACTACAGGCGTGAGCCACCACACTCAGCAGAAGGAAGGATAATTTTTAAAGCATTTTTATGTTTGCATGTTTAGTCTACCAGTTTTCACAGACCCAAATATTCAAATTTACAAAATATGAGCTGCAATGTGTGCCTCAAATCTATTCTGAAAGAATAAAGAAAAGACATAACTTAATAAATGAAGATTGAAGGTGGTTATTTGATTCATAAAATAGTTTATCATGATAGCCCTTCACATAGCCAGTTTCCCTAGTAAAATTATAATTCGATTTATTATAAAACAAAATTAGTTTTTTGTGCAGCTTTTCGGGAATTTTTTAATGCATCAAGCACAGGGTATCGATCTGTGATTCCAGATGAGTTTTGTTATATGAGCCATATGTATTTTGATCATCTGATCATATCAGATTAGCTATTTATACTAATTGAGTATACAATGAGTTATTCATGTTGTTGTTTGTTGTTTTTTTTTTTAAAAGTCAAATCATTTGTAACGTAGTTCATGGGATGATCACTTACAGTCCTTGTGTCTGATGCTAGAATAGCTATACCAAGTAATAACATTAAAACTAAATATGATCACTGGGTATAAACTTTTTTCAAAAATAAGCAGTCTGAAAATACCACATCAGTCTATACACTTTGGAAGGATTAGAAAAATAAAATCCATGGAATCTAGTCTTCAGTACTTTAATTAGCAGATAGGGATCAGAAAATCTGGGCTTTAGTCCTCTTTTTATGGCAGGACCAAGGCACCTAATCTTTCTATTCACCTATTTGAAGTTACCACTGAAAGATGCTGAAAGAAGGGGAAATGATCCTTTTTCCCCTCTGGGAAATTAATATAGTGTACCTATCTCCTTGGGCTAAGAGTAACTTGGCCGCTTGGAGAGCCAAGAATATTTAAGCTTTTATAGTCAAGAGCCAATGTTACTTTGTACAAACACCAGCACTGTTTACAAAGAGTTGACCCCAAGAAATTTAAACAGTGTTAGTGTTTAAAAGCATCTGGCTTCTAGCCAACCAGGTGATAAGAAATGGCATCTGAGAAGGAAAAAGCATGCTCTTAATATTCCATTTTCAGGGAAGTTGTTTTGAGTATTTAACTGCCAAGTCATTAGCCACCCCATTTGGAATGCTGACACAGCCTTTCTCTTTCAATTGTAGGCAATGGCAGACATTGCTAATTTACCTTTCAGTTCAAAGGGGCTAGGTGTCTGTATGAAAAGTCAGGGCAGAGTCCACTCTCTTCATTGACCTTAGGTGCCAGCCTACATCCCAGGACTAATTTTGAGGCTCGACTGTTTGGAAAGGCACTGAACCTCTTTGGAGAAAGTCTTAAGTAATTTCAACATATGTATTCAAATGTTAGAATTTGTCTTTGATCTCTGTGTGTGTGTGTGTGTGTGTGTGTGTGTGTGTGTGTCTGTCTGTCTCTGTTTTTCCCTGTGTCTCCCTCTGTCTCAGTCTGTCTGTTTTTCTGTCTTTGTCTTTCTGAGTCTGTGTGTGTCTGTTTGTCTATCTCTCTGTATGTTTCTCTCTGTCTCTGTCTTTCTCTTTCTCCCTCACCCTACAGCGTTATACTGTACTCAGCAGTACAGCATAGTGGTTTAAAGCATGGACTTTGGAGCAGACTGCCAGGAGTCATTTCCGACCTCATCATTTTCTAGCTCTGTGACCTTGGGTAAATCTTTTGAAATCTCTATGACTCAATTTTCTCATCTCTAAAATAGAAATATACACCTATTGTACCTATATCGTGGAACTATCATGAGAAGTAAATGAGTTTATATTCATAAAGATCTTATAACTGTGACTGGCATATAGTAAGCATCATAAATATTAGCTATCAGTACTATTTTTTATGCAGACATAGAACCCTTTGAGCCTCAGTTTCCTCCTCTGTAAAATGGGCTTATACTCTACTTCATAGTATTGCTGTGATGGTTAAGTGAGACCACATATTAACATATTTTATGAAGGCCTGGCACGTCGTGTATACACAATAAATATTAATTTTCTTCTCCTAGCCCCACCCCTGCTCTGTCCATTGTTTTTTACTGGAGTTGATTCACACTTCCACTTTTCATTCACACTCTCAGAACTTCACTGTGGCAATTGCTTTTACAGGTCTCCTTTAATTCTTTCAACCATGAGCAATGATCCCATGAGGCAGACCTTGTATGCCAATGGAATCAGTGGCTTCAGAA